GGGGGGGGGGCAGAGAAGTCCCAGCTTTGATTGGACAGCTGACACTCCGAGCTATGTTTGAAATGTTTTCATCTGAACTCTGTGGGAGACGTACAAACGAGGCACGGTCCGGCTAGGGAAGATCATTTACCGGTTTTTGACTCTCCTCACTTGGCTGAGAGTTTAAAGACGTTAGTTGGGTTGAGATGTGAACGTTTTACTTTTAGAAGAACACCGTGTGCTCCCAGTCACACGGAGTTTAGATGGAAATGTGTGGCATGCCGTTACACACAGGATGCCCATCGAACAGGGATATTGTTGCTAAAATTAATTCAATTCCAGCTGCGTTTGTGCCTCTCTAACAGCGTTTTAGTGAAAACAGAGATTTTAGGAATGGTGGAAATTCTTAAAACTTCTGTTTTAGAACCCTATCCACACAAATCCTGATAATCTTGATCCTTGGCCAAAAAAAAAAAAAAAAAGCAAGGACATTGTGTTTGCTTGATTATTTTTATGTTGAAACAACGCTTCTGGGCAATAAATCTGACACAGGAAGGCCTGGTTATCTCCCCTAAACAGACATTTGCTAGAAAAATGCATTTGTTGTTTTAGCAGGAGAGTTGAGTATGTGGGCTGAACCCATGAAAGACTTGCCAAATCTTCTCTGCCAAACTGCTATTTACTTTTGTGTTGTGTTTTTATTGGACGATTGCTTTGCATCCCTAACTGCACTCGCCCCACCCCCCCATGAAGGTAATGGCATGCATTAAAGTATTAATCATGTGTATGTGTTAGCATTTTACCAGTTCACTGCTGCCAGGGGACACCCACAAGCCGATACAGAGTTCCCAACATTTCATGAAAAAAAAGACATTATGGTAATTTAACAATATATTAATTTAAGAAACAGGCCTCGGTAGCATGTGGAAGAACCATACACAGCCACACAACAGCCTGGCACCTCCTCCTCACCAGCTTGGTCGCACACTGCAGTGTTTCCCCTACCATTATACAAGCGGGGTGCCCCGCTCCATCAACAGAACTATACCGCATGCAGCCCCCCCACCTGTCAGCACTGACGTAAAGCTAAGCTAGCGGCTCGCAATACAGGTGCGCTAGCTGAAAAGCTAAAGGCAGCCTCTTCCCTCACCTTGAACCCCCACACACACACGAAAACTGTTGGTACAAACAAACAGCGCGCGGTTTAGATGTGCCCCCGCCGCCCCCCCCGGACTCTATAAAATAAAATTTTCATTCACACAAGAACACTGAAAAGTCCTACCAATGATAAAATAATCACTTTCGCACCAGTGGATGGTGATAACGACTGGGTTTAATGATACAAAATGCAACCGGAGAAAATTTGGACCCCGTCTACTGACCAACTTAGTTCTTATAAAAACGCTAACTTTAAAAATATTTTTTCACTCACAACCTCACATGTATGCGCCAACGAGATAAAAAAAAAGAGGTCAGTTCAAGGTATAATCAGCTGAAGATAGTAAATATTAGCACTCGTTTATTTCTTGGTAGATATTTCACAATTTGACTACAAATTGTAGTGAAGATATCAAAAAGACATCGGAGCGTGGCGCTCCTTTGATCGGCTTTCTTCTTCTGTTACACGCGTTATTTACGTTCTATTTTATCAATTAAATCATTGCTTACATGAGCCAAGCGTGCTGGCAAAACAAAAGAATTGCAACTAGTTTAGTCACTGTAAGCTACTTTAATTATTGCTTATTTGTTGTTATAGGTTAATGTATTCTGAGCAAAGCAAAGCAAACATACGTCATTTTTATTCATCACAAAAAAGGGTTCAAACAGGTCATCTGGACAGATTTTTCTTGGTAGAAACATTTCGTCTTTCATCTGAAAGACTTGATCAGTCTGAGGCCCGCCAACCAGCTCTGTCGTATAAATAGCACCTTCCTAAAAGTGGTTCAAGCCAGCCTGCCTTGGAAATCAATTTACTTCTATTAGCATCACAAATAAAACATGAGTCAGCCGTATTCTGATGCATGCTCAATCATCCAGGTAGAAAAATCTTAAAAAATGGGGGTTTTTTTTTTTGGTTTTTGAACGTCCAGAGGACCTGACTTAACATTTGTAGATTAGTCAACAGTGTTTCCCCTACCGTTATACAAGCGGGGCGCCCTGCCCCGTCAATAGAACCGAGCGCTCCCTGTCTACTTTACACCACCCACCCACCCATCGACAACCGTCTGCATTGATGTAGCGAGGACACAATACAAACGCGATAGCAAAATTGCTACTGACATACCGATCCGCTACCACCGGCAGCAACGTAGCGCCAAGCTAGCAGACGGGCAACACAGATATGACTCCGTCTGCCCCCACCCCCGAAAAATAAAAAATACCACGAGTGCCCCGCCAACAGAGCTGATCTAGAGGAAACACTGGTGGAGGAACTCTCCTCTTACTTTCTGCTCGTAACAGGTCACGTTTTTAAACCAAACGATTTTTGCCAAACAATCGTCCATTAGACCTTGTTCTATGCAATAAAAATGTTTATGTACAAACATTTAATCTTCCTACTACGGTGGCCCTAAGGTGTAAATGAACAACATTTGAAAAAACACAACAAAATCAACAAAAACACAACATTTGAAAATGCGTTATTTCATACATTAAATAAACGGAATCACATTTGAAAAAACGGAATTACATTTGAAAAAATGAAATAACTTTAGAAAAAACGGAAATTATATAATGTTTGAATGATTCCGTCTTTTCTAATGTAATTTCGTTTTTTCTAATGTGATTCCGTTTTTTCAAGTGTAATGCCGTTTTTTCAAATGTACCGTTTTTTCAAATGTAATACTGTTTTTTCTAAAGTAATTCAGTTTTTTCTAATGTATTTCCATTTTTTCTAATTTGATTCTGTTTTTACAACTAATTCCATTTTTTCTAATGTGATTCCGTTTTTTCAAATGTAATGCCGTTTTTTTCAAATGTACCGTTTTTTCAAATGTAATACCGTTTTTTCTAAAGTAATTCAGTTTTTTCTAATGTATTTCCGTTTTTTCTAATTTGATTCCGTTTTTACAACTCTAATTCCGTTTTTTTCTAATGTGATTCCGTTTTTTCAAACGTAATGCCATTTTTTCAAATGTGATTCTGTTTTTTCAAATGTGATTCTGGCCACTTCTGCTTTGCCCACTTCCGCTTAATGTAATTCCACTTTTTCAAATGAAATTCTGTTGTTTTTTCTTTCAAATGTAATTCTGGTCACTTCCGCTTTGGCTTAATGTAATTCAGTTTTTTCAAATGTAATTCCGTTTTTTCAAATGTTGTTCATTTACACCTCAGGGCCACCGTAGGCTTTGGACCAGAATGGCCCACAACACATTGGTTTTAAGGCCTCGTGGGTCATTTTGACCCAAGGACAGCAGTAGGGTCCAAAAAGAGACAACACATCCACTTCATTTCTTAAATCAACATAAAAACTAACATCTCTCCTCTCCAGGAGGGGGGGGGGGTCGACTTTAACCTTTCAATTTGTTTTCAGTGAAATGTTCTCCAACTGTTCAAAGTCTCAGTTTTGGTTTTAATCCATCTCTTTCTAGAGCACTGTCGATCTTGTCCTCACGTTCTTCTTTGTTAGCAGACTGTGTACAGTCTGAGCTAACAATAGAGACAATGCTGCCCCTGGACTTTGCAGCCATTATTGTAGTTACATTAAAAAAAAAAAAACATTTATATGGATCATTACGGCCAGAACGGTCTATGAATATCTCTGAACACTGCGTCAAGAATAAAAACCTGTACCTATAAAGTTTTTAAGTGTTTAGTGTTGCAGCCTTACAAACTAGTAGAATGCACAGTGTGTTTAAGTATTCACGTTGCAGTATTTTTAATTTACTTTCTTTTGTGATATATTAATGCTGTTTAAAGACCAAGATGTCATTTGGATCAAACAGAAAGACCTTGACGACAGTTATCCTTTTAGCTAACTTGGACACAGTGAAGTACACGAGCGTTTCAACAGCACTGACCAAGCACCCTGCACCCTTAATGGCACCGCCATGATTGTTTTCCTGAGTAAATCCTGAAATTCCAGGAGATATTTCAGTCAAACGAAAAGCTCAGTCAGAACTTAGCGTCTTAGGTGGTGGGCAGTCATATTCAGAGACGACAGGAAGTGTGATGTAGCCTACGGTGTGTGCACACAGCAACCATTAATTGTGTGAATGTTTATGAATATTCACTCTATTGTGAGCCACTTTTTAGCAGCTTTCTTGTTCCGTTTGAACAAATCATAAATCAAAAACATGCAGCTCTTTCAGGACAATCCTGCTATGACTTTTGGTTTTGGTGCAACTTTAACTTTTTGAAATATTTAGCATTTTTAGCTACATATAATATGAACTGAGCTCATTTTACCTCCTTCAAATCTTTAGCTCTGTTTACAACCTTCTACTGCTCCTTTCACGTTTTTTGTTCTGCTTCAGCTTCTTTTCGCTTCCTTCTGCACATTTAAACTTTTTGCAGCTACTTTCAGCTGCTTTTTCAGCCATTTTGTGCTCCTTTCAGATTCTTTCTGCCAACTAATAAAAAATATATATTTTTTTTAAAAACTCATCCAAGCAAACAGAGCATTTAAGTGAAGCCCTGAGGGTCTCACAGGGTGAACAAACCACAAACATGAACTCTGCAAGAAATGCACAGCAGTCACAGGAAAGAGGTTCATTAATAGAGAGACAGCTCATTCTGCAGAAGGTAAGGAGGAAGAAAGGGAATGTGCTGAAGGAGGAGGAGGAGGAGGGGGGGACCCTGGCTTCAGTCCTGAAGAAAGAAAAGGCAGGATTTATTCAGATGATGGACTGGAGGAGGGAGGGAAGAGGATTAGGGCAAAGAAAAGCCTCCCATTGTAAGGATGTTTTCTCCTACAGACACTCCAAGGTGTATGAGAAATATTAATTATTGCTGCAGCTAAAACAACCACACTTATCTCTATACATCTGACACAGTCAGCTCATATGAGCCGCTCAGCTCACCCAAAGTCCTGGTCCATAGACTTGAAGAAGAACTTGTAGTTGGGCTTGTTCAGAACCTGTTTAAAATCCAGCAGCGTTATATTTTCCGCAGCTATGGGGATCTTCACCAAGTACGGCGTCTCCTCTTCGTCGATGTGATAAATTATTTTGGTTTCCGCCATTTCTGCTCGGATTTAATTCACCCCACGAGCCTGGAAGTTTCCCAGAGACGATGAAGGAAGCGATAAACTTTGTTGGCTTTTTTTTTTTTTTTTTTTTTAGCGAGCGGCGGAGCTAGCAGCTAAACATGGATGAAGCAGCTACAGACCGAGATTTTTTTTTTTTTGTCTTTTCTTGATTTAGCCCGAGCCGAAGATTTAAAAACGTCGTTGTCCGCCTCTGAACGAGTCGCTTTGCCTCCGTAGACGAGGGGCCGAACCTCTGCGGACACGCTACATTCAAACGACCGAACTTCCAGCAACTTTTCCCCCCAACAAAAACATACAGAGGGGGGTCAGAAAACTTTTTCACCGCTTGTTGCGAGCCAACGCGGCGTGTGACGTCATGACGTACCCTTCTCCCTTGTTTTACGTGCTGTTCCAGCAAAGCCCCTGTAACGTCCACAACTGTATGGAGCTCTGTAAGTGCCAGGTGTAGTCGAGTCAACTTTATTTATAAAGCACATTTAAAACAACAGTGCTTAACTAAGACGGCGCTTTAGGGCCACGCTAAGAAAAAAAATAAAAAAATACATCGCCATGCTAAGAAAAAAATAATTAAAAGCCATAAAATTACAAGAATAAAGTCGTATGAGACTTTTTTTTTTTTTACATCTCTCATTTATTATTATTTTTTTTTCCACGAGTAGGATCCACAACGCTACCTGTCAATCAATCCAGTAGACGTGTCAAAAAATGACCCAACCGAAGCTAAATGCTCCTATAAGTGAGTCACTGCCTCTTTCTGGCTTATTTATTGAAGACCTCTAACATTCGTCATTTTACCACACTTAAAATGTGGTAAACTTTATCATATTGGAGTTTGGATAATATTACAACTCATTTAGCTTCGGATTGGTCATTTGCTGACACGCCTACTGGATTAATTGACAGGTCGAGTTGTGGATCCGACTTGTGGAAAACAAAAAAAATTTACGACAGCTGTAAAAAAATATATATATATCGTACGACTTTATTCTTGTAATATTAAGATTTTATTTGACTTTATTCTCGTAATACTATGACTTTATTCTCGTAATTTTATGGCTTTTAATTTTTTTCTTAGCGTGGCAATGCAATTTTTTTTAGCGTGGCAAAAAAGCCTCGTACGACTTTATTCTCGTAATATTAAGACCTTATTCTACTTTATTCTCATAATACTATGACTTTATTCTCGTAATACTATGACTTTATTCTCGTAATACTATGGCTTTTAATTTTTTTTCTTAGTGTGGCAATGTAATTTTTTTAGCATGGCAAAAAAATTCTCGGACAACTTTATTCTCGTAATATTAAAACTTTATTTGCATTTATTCTTGTAATACTACGACTTTATTATCATAACTTTATAGCTTTTAATTTTGGGGGGCGAAAAAGTCTCATACGACTTTATTTTCCTAATATTAAGACCTTTTTTGACTTTATTCTCATAATACTATGATTTTTTTTCTCATAATTTTATGGCTTTTAATTATTTTTTCTTAGGGTGGCAATTAAAAAAAAAAAAATTTTTAGCGTGGCCCTAAAACTCCATCGTACAAAACAATAACATCAATGAGAGTAAATTAATGGGAAAAAATGAAAATAACGATACTGACAAATTAATTAAAAGCATTAAAGAAAAAACTTAAAAACACAGGAAAAAATACTAAATCCACTCACGCTGTGTGAAATGCCAGAGAAAACAGATGTGTTTTTAGCAGAGATTTAAAAACAGGAAGAGAAGTGGCCTGCCTAATGTTGAGGGGCAGATTTGTTCAAAAGTTTGGGGCCCATGACTGAAAAAAACAGATCACCTTTGAGCTTCAGTCTTGGAGAATTTTAAAGTCAATTCTGGCACACACACAGAGGGAGCCAGTGAAGGGAGGACAGAACTGGTGTAATATGTTCAAACCTACAAGTTCCAACTAAGAGCTGAGCAGAAGCATTTTGGAGACGCGAAATGGAGACCTGGCTGACCCCAACATAGCGTGCGTTACAGTAGGCCAGTCCGGTCGGGTAGTGATAAATGCATGGACTAGTTTTTCAAGGTCAGATCTGGACAACACTCAACTATCTGCCTTAATTGCTTTACTGTGTTTGCACCCACTGAAATAAAAAGACACCAGAAAGGCTGACCACAGCGCTCTGTGTCAAGGCTGTTCAACTGACAGCCCGGGGGCAATATAGATATTTTCTTGGTTGCAGGTTCACCAACAAGAGTTTGATCGATCTCATTTTACGTTCACTGTTGCTCTTTCCATGAGAAATCAAAGATTACTGACAAGTTCAACCTTTCAGACTTCAAAATTAGCCATCTGTCATGAGAAGTTTGCACTCAATTATCAGTTTTCTAGAGGGATGAGAAAATATAAAGTAGTTTTCATTTAAAGTGTCATCTTGGGGGGGCCAGATAAGATGTTAACAAGGGCCAGATTTGGCCCGCGGGCCTTGAGTTTGACATGTATTGTGTGAGCAGTAACAGTTCATTTGAACAATTTCTCAATGGACCAAGTCGTCTCACCAGCACGCTGTTGAAAAGTATCGCAGTAGTTCATCATCATCGCTCTTGTGGAGCTTGTGTGCATTTTAAAGGGCCGTGCCGTTCCACGAAGGAAACGTTACCGTGTAACTAATAAAGCTGGACCACTTGGCGTCGTTTCTGATTTTCAAGTTTATTTTCAGTCACCAAAAAAAAGACCATTTTACAGCTTCAAAAATATATCTTCTTTGGATACACGACGATATATAAATGTGTTGTTTGAAGGGAAAACAAAGGTGATGATGGAGAGAAGGAAATGCTTCCAACGAGGATACGCCTTTCTGCTGGGTCTCAGTTGGTCACGCAGTATTTCCAGAAACATGCTGTAAATACAAAGATAGAAAGACAGAAATGAAATGTGTTGTGCTGCAAAGTTTCAAACTAGAGATGCACCGATCCAATGTTGGGATCGGAATCGATATCGGGAAAAATCTTGACCGTGTATCATTAGAAATGCACCGATCCGATATTCGTACATCGGTATCGAAAAAAATCTTGATCATTGACAATGTGACCGATCCACAAGGACGGGAGCTGATTGCTGTTTATTTTAAATATCTGACAACCAAGCTAGCGAAGCTATTGTTTTTTCCTCTTATTTCTGCTCCTTTATTATTTATTTTACATTATATTTAGAATTCCTGAACCATTTATAATAATAATAATAATAATGTATTGTCATCACTGTATGTTTCCATACAATGGCGAAATTGGCTCTCTGCATTTAACCCATCCACTCCCAGGTGGAGCAGTGGGCAGCTATTGAAGGCGCCCGGGTAGCAGTTGGGGATAGGGTGTGCAGCTCAGAGACACCACAAGATGTGCAACGACCAAGGATTGAACCTGGAACTTTTGGGTCTCAAGTCAGCTGCCCTGCCTCTACACCATCTCGGCCTAAAGGTTTGTTGAAGTTGATGTTTGACCAAAGTTGTCAACCTATTGTTTTTGTCAGTTTCAGTATCTATTATTATTTATTTTACATTGAATGTTATACTCATAATTGCACTGACTGAACAAATTAAAGTTGTTGTTTTTATGTGTTTGACCAAGCTGTTAATTCAGTACATTTATGTCTGCGTTAATTCAGCACTGTTTTTCCTGTGTTGGTATCAGTATCGGTATGGATCGATACTAAACCGCATATATCGGTATCAGACATGAAAAAATCTTCAAATCTTTTGTGTATATATATATATATATATATATCAATCAACCTTTATTTATACAGGTAAATCCCATTGAGCCTCGAGGACTCATTTACAAGAGAGACCTGATTTCAACAAAGAAAGATGACAACAATGGACAACAGCAACAACAATAAGCAGTTATAAAAACTCATACTACAGTTTTTTTTTTTTGTTTGTTTTTTTTTTTAACAAATAGGATGGCTAAAAGGAAAAAGGTAACAAAACCAAAAAAAAACAAACAAAAAAAAACTGCTAGATTCCGAGACAAATGTATAAAACTAAAAACAGGAACATGTCTGCATTGGTCCCTGCCAGGAGTCCAACAGATTCTTAAAGCCACTTAGAGAGGTCAAGGTCGAGAGCTTCAAATCTTTTTGTAAGATATTCCAGGAAACAGGAGCAGAGTAGGAGAAGGCCCTTTTGCCTAGTTCAGTCCTCACTGAGGGAACACTGCAGGTAATGATGTCCTGAGAGCGCACTCCGTAGCTGCACTCACGCAGAGACATGTAGGAGGAGATGTATGAAGGCAGCAGACCAAGAAGTGATTTAAAGATGAAAATGTACCAGTGAGAGAGTCTGCGTGAAGTTAATGATGTCCAGTTAACCAGTGAATACAGGGTGCAGTGGTGGGTACGATAATCACAGCCAGTTATGAATCTTAGTGCACCATGATAGACAGCATCCAACATCTGCAGGGTTCTTGTAGGAGCGTTCATGTAAATAATATCACCAAAATCAATTGAGGGAAGGAAAGTCACAGATACAAGGCGTTTTCTAGCATTCAGGGTTAGACAGGATCTGTTTCTGAAAAAGAAACCCAGTTTAACTTTCAGTTTCTTTACCAAGTTTTCCACATGGAGCTTAAAAGAAAGATGTGAGTCGACCAAGGTACCCAAATATTTATAGGAATCAACAAACTCAATGGGGACACCATTTGAGGATAAAATCGGAGGAAGAACTGCTGGGACCAACTTCCTATTTGAAAAAAGCATCCCTTTGGTTTTTTCGGCATTTAGGACAAGTTTGAGGTGAAACAAATCAGTCTGGATGATGTTAAATGCAGATTTCAGAAGCTGGAAAGCCTTAGCAACTGTTTTAGCTCGACAATAAACAACTGTGTCATCAGCATAGAAATGTATGGATGCATTAGGGATGTTTTTACCTACATTATGTATGTAGATTGTAAAGAGGGTGGGTCCTAAGACTGAGCCTTGTGGTACACCATTGTTGACTGTTAAATAACTGGAGGAAGTACCATTATGTTGAACACATTGCCTCCGGTCTGAAAGATAGTTAGAGAACCAACCAATGGTGTGATCTGAGAAACCGATTTCTGAGAGTTTATGACACAAGATGTTATGATCCACAGTGTCAAAAGCTTTAGACAGGTCTAAGAAAAGTGCAGCACAATAATCCTTAGCATCCAGTGCTTCAACAACGTCATTAAGAACCTTCAGTGAAGCAGTGGTTGTGCTGTGTTGTTTCCTGAAACCAGATTGATGTGGAGGTAAGATGTTAAATGAGTCCAGGTAATTTTTGATTTGAGAGTTTATCAGTTTTTCTAGAACCTTGGCTAAAATGCAGAGTTTAGAGATTGGTCGATAGTTGTTCAGTGATGTGGGGTCACCTCCCTTCAGCAAAGG